CTTGCAGACAGGGCATGTATCACCATTGCATCCTTCGATGCAAAAAGCAGCAAAACCTTTTTTATGTTTCATAAGTCTGATATGGGTACAGAGAGTCTTTCTTAAGTTGGTAAATAATGTAAATACATGTCCTTTCAGAGAGTGAGTCTGTTATCTAGGTATTTTGTGTCATTTAATAAATATTAAACAGTTTTGTGTTGATAAACTCTTGTGTGTAAAATGCCTTCTTACTCCAAGTTCTGTATGTTGGGCTTACTAATGTTTATGGCTTCTTTAAATTCTTTAGCTTGTGCTTTGATAGCAAAATACTTGTTTGCTACTTAAATATAATAAGTTCCTTATTCATTCAGTCATTAAAATCCCTTGAGTTTTCTAAGTGGCTTCCATTCCTGAATTGTTATTATTTTGGGTTTTTTGCTAAGTCTTCTATGGTTCTTGGAGGGGAAGGAAATAAGCATTCTCATAGGTCCTGAACTGGGATTACAATGTGTACAAGTGGCAGGAATACACAAAAATACCAGTGGTGGTGCCTTGCTGCTCCTGAGGGAGGCACCTCTTCTGCTGTGTGAATATTCCTTGTCTCCCACTTTATAATTGTTTTAATGACTCTGGAATGGAGTATGAAGGACAAAGCTGTAGAGAGGATTTGCTTCTCTTATTAAGAATGGCCAGTTGGCTATTTCTTGATTTTTCTCCCTCACCCTGAACAGCTGGGTTAAATCTGAGCAGAAGGACTGTGTCCAGCCTGGCCCTTCCCAGCTCAGGAGCACTGAGGACTTGGTGGACGGGGGAGATGGACTGTTTTGGATTTCCTTTTGGAATTCTGGAAGATGGGAGAGCTGTGGCAGAGCAGGTGCTGATCCTGTGAGCTGTTCTGGGAAGGCTGGCATGGGCTGCAGGGGGCTGGCCCTGCACTGCTGGAACCCACAACAGTCCTGGGGCAGGTGGGCTTGGGCAGGTCTGGGAAGCATCGGCCACCAATCCTGCTCAGTTGCTTCCTTCCTGTCTTACACCTTGGAGGCACTAAATGCATGGCATGGTTTTTCCACTTTGTCCTTAAAGAGAATATTTCCTACATTCTTCACAAAAAAGAAAAAAAAGTCCCACAGGAACAGATGAGTGTTTGGAGACTGATAGATTATCTGTCTACTCTGACAAAAAAACAGAGCAGTAAATTCTTTCATTCCTTTTCCTATGTGAAGTACAATATATGCCACTGTGCTTTATCCTGATTGAGAAAAACTGATGACAAATCAAATTTAAGATGGTAGCTTTGGATTTGCCTTTTTTGTTCCCCCTTAAAGAGGCCAGGATCTGTGGACATACTGTGGCATTTAAACAAGGAGCACCTCAAAACTCACTGGAGTGGTTGAGAGGCATTGAACTTTGTGCAAAGTGTATCTTGTAACTCATGGAGTTAACTGGGAAGAGAAGCAATGGATGTTGGTTAATTTACAAAGAAGCAGGTTTTTCTCCTGACTAAGTAATTGTTTCCTGGTACAAGGTCACCTTTCAAATTACTCACAGCTTCTCTTGCTGCTGCTTGAAGAAAATTAGCATTAGGACATAAACAAAAAAGGTAACTTTGAAAGTGAATTTTCTAGAATGAGTTATCAATTGCTAGAGATTTACAGAGACCAGCCACAGTACCTATGTCTGGCCCTAGGACCCCACTAAGAATGCCAAGTCCAAGTGAATGTTTCCAATTAGTCTCCTGTTAGTTCTTTGGCTGCAGCTTGAACTGGTGCCTCTGGAGAGGGACCCCTACCCCAACTCACACCTCTCAGTTATACCCCTGACACTCATCACCCATGCCAAGTCAAACATAAAATTCTGGTTGGTGGACTCTTGATTTCCTTTGGGTTCCATTGTTGCTGGGCTGGGCACCTTCTCATGTAGCTTTTTCTCTTGGAATTGTCTCCTTCTCGTGTCCCATCTGCTTGTATCTGCTGAATTCCACGAGTTCTTTTGCTACCAGCATTGTTGTATTTGTTAGATCAAAAGTTTGGTCAGTTCTTGCAGCCTAAGGAGACTATTCAGACAGGAGATTACAAGTAACCTAATTTTCTTTACAACTGTTGATAGTTCTTTATCTCACTCAAAAAAATCAGTTGTTTGTCTGCTTGCAGCACCTGTATTTTAGAGCTGGAGGAAAACAGGGATGTCACTCAGTACTTCTATGTTAAAATTCCTGAATAATCATAACTTGCTATGAAATTTTGTCTTTTCACAAAAGTAAGTCTACAGATTCTGTTCCATCTGATATTTGCAGTAACAAGGAAGTTGCAGTAACTGCTTTGAGTAGATCCAACATTTAGATGTGTTATGCAATTAAGGAGTGTAGAGGGTCACTGCCCAGGCCTTTGCAGGGCTCAAGGGCTCTTATGCTTCTTTGCAAAGCTTAGTCACCATGACTTTGCAGAAAGGGGCTAGCATGCAAGTAAATTGCATCTGGAATGATAAGGAATAGATTGCTTGTTGCTACTTAGAGCAGTAGTAGATTTAATTCATTGTGAAATGAGTGCTAGATTATTAGCAACGTGTTCACTTAATATATAGCTTTATTTTCCCCTTCTGGACTGAACTTCCAAGGAAATTATCACAGTGCCCGTTCTGTTTTACCCTTGTGTAGTCTCTGAGACTTGATGTATAGCTGAAAAAAATAATTATCATGGCCCAAACCAGATACCTTTCTCAAAAGCAGGCCCTTCATTACATACACAAAGCCCTTCAGCTGGTGCTAGTTTCAGGCTCAAGGCAAAGCACTCTTTCATTAATTAATTTTCAGTGAAGGCTGGGCAGGGCACTACACAGGCCAATTCTGCCAAGTGCGTGCTGGGGAGGAGGTGCAGCTCTCAAGCATGAGATAGGAACAAAAATTACAAAACAGCCTCTGCAGAGGTGAGCTGAAGCCTTCACTGCACAGGTAGAGCTGGTTTGTAGGATGTGGCTGGGGACTAGGTCAAAACTGGTTCTGCAAGCACAGGGCTGCGATTTTGTCACTTGTAGAACTGACACTGTGTGTGTATCCCTTCATTTTCTCCCTTTTAATTCCTACAGCAGCAGTTGCTGCTTCAAATCCTAGCTCTAAAAGCACAAAGCAAACACACAACCTCAAACTGGAGAGAGATCCTTCCCCAGAGAGCTGTTTCAGGTCAACACAGTGAACAGGCATTAGCCTGGTGTTTGTCAGACCTTGGTTTCTGATCTCTGTCAGAGCTGGAAACTATAGACTAGTTACAAATATCATTATGTTCTCTGTAAAAGGGATGTAATGTTATTCTAGGTCACAAGGGATCCTATAGCACTGAAGTCTTGCAGATAAAATATCCAGTTATGAAAATGACTATATAATATCCAGTTTCCCTCCCTGCTTTCTATTTTAGATGTAACTTCTTTTCCTGCTGAAATCTCTCAGAAAATGTTACAGCCAACACATCTTTCATAAGAGCTGGAAGTGGGCGGTGCCTTCTGTGCAGAGCCATTTTCACACAATAAATTCTGCTCTGAAGCTGACAGATGTATCTCCAGCAAGTTAGCACTGCATGCTGATCAAACCACACAAGCCAGAGAGTATTGACACACCTCTACTTTGCTGGAACAAGCCCAAGGAATGCGTTGTCAGTCAAACAAGTTCATTTTTTTCACATTAAACAGAGCTACATCTACAAGCAGCTTGGTCTGACTCACCAAATGCATAAATCTCATCTGCTGCCACATGTGAACCCAGCTGCAGCACACATCACATCCAGTGGCAGCTGGGAGTGCTCGGAGCCTGATGCTGCTGCTGTGCCATGGCACAGGGACAGCAGTGACCCAGCACGGGGACAGCAGTGCCACAGCATAGGGACAGCAGTGACCCAGCACAGGGACAGCAGTGACCCAGCACGGGGACAGCAGTGCCACGGCACAGGGACAGCAGTGCCCTGGCACAGGGACAG